TTGGGAATCTTTAGTTCTCTGAGGAAATATTTTAAAAGCTGTTGATTTTTCAGTTTGTTTACACTTTATTATGATGACAGGAGTGATAAAAGTTTACACTTTATTTGTGATGACAGGAGTGAGAATTGCCTAACTTTTTACATGTCAGATCAGAAATCAGAAGTCTCAGTGCTAACTGAATTTGAAGAAAATATAAAAAATTTCTTTCCATCTATCTTCATTCTTCCCCACTCATTTCTAAAAAAAAAAAATAATTTATTATCATTATTCTTCAATTTTGACCAGAGAGAAACAGAGAAAAAGGAAGAGTGAGAAAGCAAGCTGTCAGGTCCAGGACTTGAACCATGGTCAGCCATGTGAGAGTCCAGCGCTTCAATCACCATGCCACCTGCCGGCCCCTTCCCAACTCATTTTTGCCATTATCATCATACTTTATATCTACATGTATTATAAACCAAAAAGTACAGTGTTATAACGATTTTTCTACACAATCTTGCATTTTTTAAAGAAGTTGAGAGAAATTGGGAGTAAACATATGTTTTTCAATTTTTTACATGAACCTACATGTTTATACTTTTTAATTAATCTTCACTTCTTCCTGTAAATTCTAGTCGCCATGTGGTATCATTTCCTTCTTCCAACATACAGCATACAGTATTATTCACAGTTCACTCTTATACACAGTTTTAATTTCCACAGTTTTAGTTACCCATGGTCAACTGTGATATAAAATAGGTGAGTACAGTAATTTGAGAGAGATAGATCTCATTCTCATAACCTTTATTACAGCATATTGTTATGAGTCTTCTATTTTATTATTAGTTATTATTAATCTCTTACTGTGCCTAATCTACAAATTCAACTTTATCATAGGTATGTATATAAAGGACAAATCATAGCATTTATAGAATCTGATACTACACAGTTTCAGGCATCTCCTGGGGACCTTGGACCAAATCCCCCTATGGATAAGCGTACTAATGTAGCACCATTTTCTCTCCCACCTTGTGCCATTATTGGCATAAATATAACATATTTATATATTATAAAGTTAACAGTACTCTTTTGTAATGACTGTTATTTTAAATATTGTTTCTTTTAACTTCTGCTTTACATATAATCATCGTGCATTTTTGAGGAGTATGATATGGTTTTTCAAAGCATATATGCAGTGCATAACAATCAAATCAAGGTTGTAAACATATTCACTATGTCCAACATTTATTATTATGTTTTGTTGTGATGGATTTCTTTGTAATAAATATTAAATTGTTACTAACATTCTTTACTGCGATACAGTTTTATAACCTATTCTATAACCTGGTGAGGCCATGGAGAAAGGGGAACTCTCATGCACTGTTCTTGGTAATGAAAACTAGTTTAACCACTGTGTAAAACAGTGTGGAGATTACTCAAAAAGCTAAGCATGGAATAACCTTTAGATCCACATCTAGGAATCCCAATACTAAGTACATATCCAAAGAAGAGGAAATCGCTCTATGAAAGAGTTATTTGCACATCCATGTTTATTGCAGCATTATTCACAAGAGCTAAGACACAAAATCACCTAAGTGTCCAACAACAGATGCATAGGTAAAGAAATTTTGGCATATATACACAATGGAATACTATGCAGCCATGAAAAACAATGAATTCATGTCATTTCATATAAAATGGATGAAGCTGGAAGATAAAATGTTAAGGGAAATAATCCAGGCTATGAAAGACAACTCAGTGAATATGAAGTGTCCTCACTTCTTAGCAGAAGCTAAAAGACTCAGTAATGTAGAAATACAGAGTGTAATGGTAGATAATAGAAGCCCAATAGAAGTGGTGATGGGTGGATAGGGAAATATTAGTTATAATAATTATTTTATGTTAAATCATTTAAAAGAAGAGAGAACAAATATATTTATAGTCTGTTACTTTTATCTATGTAAATATCTTCACCAGTGCTTTTTATTTTTTTGAATAGATTTGTATTATCATTTGGTGTCATTTAATTTTTTTTTGAGAGGTTTTTGCTATAGGGCGCATGCGCTCGCCAGACAGAGAGACAGAGAGACAGAAAACGAGAAATCCCCTCCCAGGAGGGATAGCCACGCCACAATCCCTTCTCCTCCATTCTCCTCTTGGGATCTTGGGCACGCAAGCACATGCGTCCGGCATGAGTTTTAAGCCACCAGGTCTGGGACACGAACCACGGTCGACTACGTGGGAGTCCAACGACATAGCCATTACGCTAACTGCTGGTCCCAGTGTCATTTAATTTTTGCCTAGAGAAATTCCTTCTGTATTTCTTGTAAAGACAAGGCTGTTAGCAGTGAATTATCTTTTTAAAGAATTATTTATTTAATTTTATTTATTCGTTTATTTATTTTAATTTGACCAGAGAGATACAGAGAGAGAGAGAGGGAAAGTGAGAAAGCAAGTCACTAAGTCCAGGACTCAAACTGTGGTTGGCCATGTGGGAGTGTCCAGTACCTTATCCACCATACCACCTGCTGGCCCTAGCAATAAATTCTTTCAGTCTATCTGAAGAGATCTTTTTTTCTATTCTCTCTTTTAAAGTATAGTTTTGCTAGATAAGTGATTTTGGATTTACATATTTTCTTTCTTACCACACTTTGAATATCTTTTTTTTTTTTGTTTTTCCCAGAGGTTTTTGCTACAGGGCATGTGCACTCATCAGAAAGAAAGAGAGAGACAGAGAGGCAGAAAGTGAGAAATCACCCCCCAGAGGGGATGGCCACGCCACAATCCCTTCTCCTCCATTCTCCTCTTGGGATCTTGGCACGCACACACACACACACACACTTGGTGTGAGTTTAAGCCACTGGGTCCAGGACTTGAACCGTGGTCGACTACATGGGAATCCAGTGACATAGCCATTAGACCAACTGCTGGTCTCACCACACTTTGAATGTCTTACACTGCTTTAGGGTTTTCATTTTTTTCTGTTGAGAAGACAGTTATCATCTTACTATGGGGTTTTATCTTACTGCCTTCCAGATTTGCTGTCTTTGGTTTTCAGTACTTTGATTGTGATGTGTTTACATCTCTTTCTATTTATCCTAGTTAGAATGACTTATGAAAAAATAGAATCAAGGGGAACAGAAATGTATAATACCTAGAATATAATAATCATATAGGTTTTAATGCTCTATCTTTTAGGTCAGTTTTCCTATATTAAAGCATGTGCTTTTGCCTGAGTGACACAGCACCTCAGGGACCAGTCAGCTCTCATGACCCCGAACACCTAGGCCTTTTGGTCCGAGGGGGAGGGTTTCATATACAACTAAAAGCTGACATTCAAGTAAAAACCTCAAGGCAAGGGTATTTTTTTCTTCTTGCATCAACTTACTATTCTTAGCTCCTGACTCCCCATAAAAATACTTAAATTGTTCTCTGATATACCTATTAAGAAAGGTCTTTGCTTTGGTTCTTTCAAATGTCTTTGAAATGTTAAGACAATTATTTAAGTCACAAAACAGCAGTTATTATGAAAACTAATGATTGAAAAATTATAACAATTGATAAACATACTGCAGCAATAATGTTAAGCCTTCTTAAATGTGTTATACTCAAGCTATTTAAATTAAAATTGTAATTATGATGGATGACATTATTTAGTGTTTACCAGAGCCTACCATTGTTGGTGATCAGCAGTTAGCGTAATGGCTATGTCGCTGAACTCCCACGTAGTCCACCGCTGTTCGCTTCCCGGACCTGGCGGCTTAAACTCACGCCAGGCGTGTGTGCGTGCGTGCATGCCCAAGATCCCGAGAGGAGAATGGAGGAGAAGGGATTGCAGCGTGGCCATCCCCCCTGGGGGGTGATTTCTTGCTTTCTGTCTCTCTGTCTCTCTCTGTCTTTCTGGCCAGCGCACGCGCCCTATAGCAAAAACCTCTCAAAAACGAAACAAAACAAAACAAAACAAAAACAAAACCTACAGAGATCATCTCCTGTGTGGCAGACTCTGTTTGGACTGAGCCCTGGAATTGCAGGCATCAAAGATAAAGACATACTGATACATTGACATTGATCTGCAACCAGGAGAGGGTTCCATGGCATTCTTATTTTAGTATATGTGCTGCCGAAGCGAGCACTATGGCATTCTAATGACTCAATGGCTCACCTCCTTCACCTACTGACTGGTTACTTTGCCTACAGGGTGCGGAGAAGAGCAGCAGTCTAGGTCAGCTTTCTTTTGGAAGGCAGTGGCGAGACCCTACCAACCCAGTTCACTTGCGAGCTCAAGCGCCTTTCTGCCCTGCAGTGGTGCCATGAAGCAGTGGAAGAGGTACATGGGAAGGCCACCCTAGAGCCAGGGAGATCTGGTCTGAAGTTGCCTTGTAGCCTGCAGTCCTAATATGCCATCAACCCCGCTGGACTTATTGGTCAAGGTATACGGTATATCAAGCCTAGAAGGAGCTCACAAGTGTGTGTGTGTGGGGGGGAGGGTTGATTTATGAGTACAAAGATATTTTAGTATTAATCTCTTACATGATACAGAATTGTTTTCCTCATGACTTCACTTAGGCTCCTGCATAGAGAAGAATATTATGGGAACGAGACAAGTACACAAAGAGGTAGTTTTGTATTAATACACTCTTGGTTCATCCCCACTGCCGCTATATCCTTGTCCCACTTGCCCTTCGACTATTTCAATGCAAGAAATAGCATGCTGAGCAACAAGGGCAAAAGACTCCAGAGAGAGGAACAAGCGAAGGGTAAGCTGTTTGACACTGGCTCACGACCTGTTGACCTATAGCAGCTTTGAAGAGGCCCTGACAATATCTTGTATTTCACACAGAAAATTAAGTGCTTGCTGGGGGCTTCTCAAATACAGAGGGAGCACAAGATTTGTGGAATTATTACAAATTTATCTTCCTACAGCAGTCTTAGGACTCTTTCTTGATTTGGAATCTTAAGACAATTTCTTCATTTACAGTCCTAGCGGTTTGGCGCTGTGAACTCACACTATGGTGACATTTCAGTATCCGTCCGCCCTGTGAAGTAGAGCGGAATTCTTGTCGCCAAAGATTGAAACCCGTATGCATCCCAGTTCGGGAAAGAAAAATGGTAAGCTTGGTGCAGGCAACTCAAAAGAAGGGAATTAATACACCGAAAAGTATTATTGTACTTCTCCCCATCCAGCGCTGTTTTCCCTATGTTCAGATCCCGCCTCTGCATAGTCCTGCAGCGGAAACAAGCAGAGTGGGCGGGACCGAGCTCTCTGACGTAAGCAGAGCGGGGCTAGGCAAAGCTTGTGATATCACTCCGCTCCCAGAAGCCGGAACCCCTTCAACTACGCAGCATCTCCTCCTGCGGCTGATTTCGGTAACCCGGACGTGGCAGAACGTCATCTTCGGAGGAAAAGGTCGATGTTCTTTAGTCACCACATACCGGTTCCTGAGGAGCTCTCAGAACGGGAAAGAAAGGAACACCAAAGAGTGACAATAGTTTGCTAATTACTGCCCTTGATCTGATAAAGCAGGTATCTCGTCCTAAGTCCAAGGTGCCGGGCCAACCCCGCAGTCACCGCCATTGTCTCGTGTCTGACTGTCTGTCCCTCTTTCTGTATGGCACGGCGCCCCTTGAGGCAAGGAAATAAGAAAACCGCTTCTGATCCAACCAGAGCAGGTCAGTGAGAAGGCGGGCATTGCTTGGGAGTGTGTATGCGGCTATCAGAGAGAAGTGCGGGATATGTGACCTGGTCAGCGGAGGCGGGCGGTGAGAGGGAGGGAAAGACGGAGACAGTTTGATTGGCATTAAGCAATGAAAGATCATCTGCCTCTTGCTACCTTGATTTTCATACACGCTCCACCTCCAGCCTCGTTGGGGAAGGGAAAGCTATATTATAGCAGCTTCTACTGGGGAAATGGCGGACTGTGTAAGGAAAGGGGCCTGTGGCTATTCATGAGGACAATTTACTGGGAATCCCTGGGAGGGAAAAAGGAGTTGCAAATGTTTGATAATCAAGACCCAGAATTCGAAAAGGGTCTTGTGTCCTGGTTGCTGGTCTGTTCGTTAAAAAAACCACATATCTCCCACTGTCTTTTCATTTGTTGTAGGGGTGTGTATTGTGCTTTCTTGTGTGTAGATCTGTTCCTAGGTTTGCAGTACTGCATGTTTCCATAAATATTTGTAGGGGGCATTAGACCTCAAGGGGAGGGGAGTAGTAAAAGACATTGCCCTGGTTTTTGTAGAATGGGCAGTGTTTGGAGGTGGTAGATGGCTACAGCAGGTAGGGAGCTAGGAGGACTTGCAGATCTCCTATTCGCTTTCTGTTGTCCTCCCTTACTCCCGTTATGTTGCAGAAAATGATACACTTTAGAAAGAGGAAGGAATCATAAGAATCTGGAAGAAATTTGGAAATACTAATTTTCATTGTTTTCCCAGCCGTTGTTGTTTGTCTGGTCATTTCATTCCTACCCACACTACTAAAACCTTGCAGGGATATTTTACTTGCTTCTGCATGGGATTTGTCACCACTTTGGGAATGGAACAGAGGGGCTTGGAGATTTTGGAGTGGAAGAAATTAGGGAGATAGAAAATGTTGGACAAACAAGATCTGTTTCCTAGGTGCTGGTCTCTACCAAGATTTCGGTCTCCAGTGTCTATTTGTCTCTATGTTTGTGAATCTCTGTGGGTGGATATGTCCCTAGATCTGACAACTGTCAGTTGTGAACACTTATAAAATGGGAACACAAATTGAAGCTAGGAAATAACAAAGAGAAAATTGTGCTGTATCTGTTTAAGTTTGGTGCAAGGGTACAGGGATAGGAGGTGATTGAGATGAAATAATTCCATCTCTCCTTGTCAGCTTATCAATAATTCCTATCTACATCCATCCCAAGCCTGCTGATTTAGTTGGGCACCTTGGTAAGTTTTGGGATACAGAATGCTAAGACCTGCCTTTTCCACTTCACACTTGGTTATCCTGCTCTCATGCTTTACCCTAATCTAATTCTGAACTAAAAAATTGCCAGGGCAATCACTGAAGAGGAAAATGGTGGGCAATAGGGATGAGGAGCAGCCCTGAAGCAGGGTAATGCTAGGAAGGGACCAGAGGAGGGAAACACCAGACACATTATATCTGGAAGGGCAAGAATAGGAGCCAGGGACCAAGGTCTGTCTACAAAGAGATCAGTTTCCATATCCACCTGTTTGTTTATCCATAGGTCTGCCTGTAGGTCTGCCCTAGGGCTTGTCACCATTGGAAGCAAAGAAAGGAGGAGAAAATTACTTATCAGTGCAGGTCGGTATGAGTATGGGGACTGGCTGGGTAGACCTATAGGATGGGGTAGTGGAATTTGCTTGGCTATAACAGGGGGGTCAAGAGGCAATCTAGGGACTCCTCGGCCTTTCTTACTTCCATATAGCTTTCCTACCTTTTGTGCTCTGCTTGGTGCCTGGATAGGAGATTGGTAACCCTTGTAGGTGTAGAGAGTGGGTGAAATAAAGAGAGACAGAGTTTTCTAGTTATCTACCTGTCCTACCTAGCACTGAATCTCAATACTCTATCTTTTTGTACTAATCAACATGAGAAAAAATTGGAACAGACTCAAAGCCCCATTTCCTTCCCTCTACTCTTAGGTCCAACTTCAGTGGCAGATCTGGTGGCCTTGGAGTGGCTGGAAACCCACCCCACTCACAC